AGGGCGAGGACCCGTCCATCGCCGCTTGCGGCTTTAATTACAGATAATTACAGTCCAGTGATCGTCCTCATAAATGTGACGTCTCTTCTTGTTTTCATGTAGCTATGAGAGAAAAGTCTGTGTTTATTCTAAATGTGAGAACTTTTCTCATAAACTGGATTTATTAACTACTTATGAGCGTCTCCTAATCGAGATAATTGATCATGAAAACGTGTTTAGCCTTTAATTATGAGTTTATAATTATGAGACAAACTAATAATGACAAGAAAGTTTCTCCATGAATGAGATGTTTTTAATGGTCATTAATCTTTTTGCAGGATGTTTCTACATAAATAAGATCAGAGTTTATAATCATGTGACAGAAACTCAACCTATAAGGTCGTTTGTTTGTTTTTGTGATAAAACCAGATCAGAGTTTATAACTATGAGACAAACATTTGAGATCTTTTCTGGTAATCATCAGTTATCGTTCTGACATAATGAAGATGTTTTTAGACTGTCTCAGCGTTTCTCTGAGACATGGCTCCATCATGAGATCCATGTTTGTAGCTACCAGATGTTCTCCTGTCATGTGATCACATCTTGTTCAGGATGTGTAACCACCAGAGCTTTGTTCATGTTCAGAACACCAACAAGCTCCAGCCTCCAGTGGTTCTTCTTCTCTGCACAGTTTCTACAGTCCACGGTTCTGCACACATCGCCTCCATCAGACCTGCAGCGTTTAGAAAACCTCAAACATCTGCATTAAGTTCAGCGTTCTGGACCATCTGGGTCCAGCAGTGACTCCAGCTGGTTGGTTCAGTAACACCAGGCTCAAGTCTGAAGGTCCACCTCGTCACACCTTGCTCCTCTTGGCGTGGCCCTCTGCTGGAGGAGCTGCTCTCTTGTTGCGGTGGTGAGGGAACGTGGGCATCAGCTCCGGCTCACAGGCTGCAGACCAGAACAGAGACGGTGAGGAACAGGTGAGCAGGAGGCGAGCAGCACACAGGAGGACGGACAGGTGTACTCACGCAGAGGCTTCTCCTTGAAGTAGGAGCTCTCCAGACAGTCTTTGGCGGTCGCTCTGGATCAGAACCACAGGATCAGTTTAAACCAACAGCTTCACGTATCAGACACCAGAACACGTCTTCAGTGACCGATCACGTATGAACGTTAATATGACAGGTGCTCTGGTTTGTTTCATGTCCTACAGCTCACTGAGACGCTCCAACATCTGCTGAGAGCT